ACTGCAGTCAGGTTCAACAAATGGGCAAGAATTAGTTTTATTTTAACCAATTAATTACCAGTTCATTAATTGTTTTCCACAATGCCTTGATGTTGCCTTAGTGTGAGGAAATTCAGACATATAATAATTTGATTTTCTTTTTTGGAGTAGTCGAGCATAAAGGTTCCTGTATTAATTCCTGTATACATCAATATTTTTATTAGTTATTAGTTTCCTATTTAGTTTTTGTTTGACTTTGTAGAGTTTGTGTAACTCAGTATCATACCAAAGTTGGTTTATTCGGTTTGTTTGTTTTATGTATGGAAAAAATAGAGAGTAAGCAGCAGAGAATTTAACAAACAATTTTTCAAAGCATGTGTTGGGGTCCTGGATGCTGTTGAAATCATCAATATCAATAGAATCCAATTTATCATAAAAGTATTCAAATTGGATGAGGTTAACTGACGATGAAGTGTTTCAATTCCATTTTGAATTTGCTTCTCTAGGAGAGAGCATTGTACAATTGGCAGATGATTAGAAATACAGTCCACTAAGACAGCACTGTTAATTTTTATCATATAGCCTACGTCCAAATCATTGTCCAAATGTGTCCAAATGTGGTCTATACAGGTAGCAGAACTTGAAGTTATTCTGATGGGACAGTTTATCAGAGAATTATAAGTCAGCCTGACGAGGCAGTGCATAATATCAACAAATGAGCTGAAAATAAAACTAGACTCATCAAGAAGATTATAGTTGAAATCACCCATTGTGTAATTATAATTCAACTGGTTCATCTTAGAGAGGACTTGAGACAAAAGAATTCGGAAGTTGGCATTAAAGACTAATACATTTTCCGATCGCCCGGTGTCACTTTTGGGACCCGGAAATGATAAGTCGATTTGCCAGACTCGTTTTATTGAAAGTATTCCAAACGGTTGACTAAAATACAAATGAAATAATTAGCACCAAATAAATCAAAGACATATGATACAGAATATAAAAACTAATACTTACACAAAAAAACTCCATATAACAGCATAGTCCCAAAAACGACAGATATACAACCAAGGTAAAAGAGTAACTATAAATGCAATACAATACGAGCTGTAGACATGCAAATATCATAATGTTATATCGAACGATTCGAAATACAGTATAAAAGGAGACTACTGAATGAATTCAAACTTCAACGCTATAAAGGCGATGTAATCTTGGACTGCCATAACAAGAAATGAAATCCTAAACTGCTACCACCAGAAATGCAATCTTAAACATCTTGCTGAGCTTAGGGGACGATAATAAAATAAATACGTAAAACGATAACACGTGAAAGAGAAAAATGCGACACGTCGAATACGAGAAAACAACACAGTAATGATGACGACGACGAGATAGCGATAATCATCACGATGACGATGTACAACTGAAGGAATCCTAACTAAACTAAACTTTAGGACCACACGGACTGCCGACACCCGGCGCTCAACGTCACCAAAATTTTATGTTTTGGCCAATTGTGATGAACAGTAGCATGTGTTTGATCTGGATGATGCCTATAACATCTGTCAAACCTAATTCTGTGAATATTGATGTCTTCTTTCGCTATCCAAATCATGTACTTCACGCGATTTTATGTAGGCCAGTGTTTTAGTAGGTTACAAAATGCCTCGCACAATTTATCTCAAAATAGGGAAAAGTTTTATTTTTTATTGGAGATGACATAAATACGGCCTCGTAGCAAATACCAGCTTTACTGGACAACACTTAACTTTTTTTCGGTCCTTCACAACTTCATTAGTCGCGCGTCCGACCAGAATAACTAGTTACTCGATTGTATGACTGATAACTTTCATATATTTTGCCAGACAGACTTTCAACATACGCATGAGCATCTGGACCTGAGAAAATTTTGAATGGTTCTAAAATAGTACTTAGCAATAAAATCTCAGCTCCAGTAGGAGTCCATAATTTAAACATCTTATTCAAAAATTTTGTCAACAAAGTTGCGAATTTATTTGACAAGCATTTATTAAAAAACATTTGTAACTTTTTTATAGTGGGCAGGCCCTCACTTACTTCATCATTTTTGAATACCAAAAAGAATAGGTTTCTTATATATATATTTTGATAGACCTGTTAAATAATCCATGTTCTTGTAGAAGATTACTTGCTTGCTGAAATATTAAAGTTTGTTATTGGCTTAATTTTAAGTAAAATTTTCAATATCTCTATGTTTATCGGAATTTTCCAAAATACGTTTTATCTATATCTATTCCAGTAGAGCGCCCATGAAACTATCCCGATCTGTGAACAATTTCGATACCAGGATAACACATTGCGTAATTTCTTTGGAACTTATTACGCCAGACTTCGGTTAACCGGATAATTTTACTCGGTTAACGTTTAAAGTGTTTTCCCCGAAATTCTCAGCCCTACTAAATTGAACCTCCTTAGTGACAACGGAGCTGTCAATAAGTTGTTTTCTGGTTACTTAGAAGGTAGAACTAAATTTGTGTGGTCGGCTGGTAGCAAGGGTGTCTGTAGGTGTGCGTCGAGGCTCAGTTCTAAGTATCAATATCAATGATACAACCAACCAATGCTTTAATTTAAATAACCTTTCAACGACAATATCGCTACGTCCTCCGCAACACAAAGCTCATAAGCACGGAACAAATAGTTAATAAGAAAAACCTTGTACTTATTTCGAAATTTCTTCTCCCAATGACTATATATTGACTACCTGTAACTAGATCAAGTATCTTTAAGTAACTTGAAATAGTGAAATAAATTGTCAAGTGCGCGATGACTAACCAGCAGGTAGGTTGTCAAGAGGTGTTGGTTCAATGAACTTATTTATTTTGAATCTATGTAATTTTCCATTCATGAATGTTTCTGCTTCCGGTTCGAGCAAAAATAAAACACAAACAACCATAAGCCATTAATTGGATTGTTGATACATAAAGCAAATGGGGATCAGCCTATAACAAGGCGGGCAAAGTTTTTTTACAAGAGCCGTATCAGGAAAAGTACTTTTTTTCATAGTTCCATTTAGTTGAAATTTAATGTGTAATATATCCAATGGTGGGCTTCAAAATTTTTTAGAAGAGGTTTACTTTTGTATCGAATTCTCTCCTTATTTCAGAAAATATATGTCGGTCACTAAACGTGCATGGTAATGCACTAACATGCATTAACATGACACGCTTCACGTAAACCAAATATATAACTTGTAAAAACGAATTATAACACTAGTTGTCAGCTGCGTTGTACGTACCCCATTTGCTGCTGTCTAACCATTTTTTTAGAGGTTTGAAATCCCTCGATGAATAAAAGTCTTTAAATATAATATTGCACTTTGTTGGCAGTACACGGCTGTAGTTACCCTGAAATCAAGAATGTTGTGGTCATTCCAAAATATAGTCCGTTTCTGTAGAGGTCGGGTAAATGGCATTTGTGACAATACTATCCTATACTTTTAATCTATAGTGATATCGGAAAATGAATTATATAGAAATATATTGCGCCAACATAATTATGCCTTCTCAATACGCTACAATATGTCTATCAAATTTACTGTCGAAGATTTTTTTATCGGATTTAGGGTCAATGTGCGAACACCGTCACGATGTCGAACATTATTTTAAATAGCAACAGAAATAAACATAAGGACTTTGCACAAAAGTAACGTTTTTGGGTAAACAATTCAAACAAAAGATTCTATAATCATTTTGGGAGGATAACTTACTACAAAGCCTAACAAAGAGAGCCCGCGGGTGGGCTGCGTGTCTCTTCTGTAACTTCTATTATGTATACAGACTGTCGTGTAGAAGTACTTCGTGGTAGACAAAATTCTGTAATGAATTTATTGCATTCTCCTTGAAAGTGAAGAACGTACCAACACGACCGATATAGTTCGAGCAACACACGGGTTACAGATACACTTATTTATTTTTTCAGCTCATGGTTTACAGAGCGAATTGCGAAATGACGTTGCGCTATTTGAATGGCCAATATTTAGATTCAGTATATACATGAAAGTATCTATTGCTTTCCTACGACAGTGTTTGTATGGAAACGGCAGTCAATTATCAAGACAGACGATTTAGTGCGGTTGAAGTGTATGGGTTATTTAAATATTATTTCTATGAAATGATATTGGTTATAAAGAGCTTTTCAATGTCTGCCTAATTGAGACTCAAGGTTAAGGAAACACACATCGAGCGTTGGCTATTGTATCAAGTAGGAAGATTATTAGTTTATTGTAATTCAAACATAGTCTACGCGATGGTACTTAATTTTATAGAAGTATGCGGATTGTAAAATTATGTAACAACAATATTTTGTGTTGTTATATTCGGATGCCTATTTTCAGATGTACGCAGAAGCGTACGCATGTTTTTGAACCTAGACAAGCAGTGTATTGAGAAATATTTTATGATACTGAGCAGGACGGAAACATATACTTCTCTTCTTCCTTGGAGATTATTAAATTGGCAGGTTTTTGAATCAAATCATGTACTCATATATGAATCGTTTTACTGCGTTTCGCGCAACTTACAAGTGATTTTTCCTAGCATATGTACGATATTGGTCCAAGGACTCTTATATACTGAATCAGGGGGAATAATAGTAATCAAAAATACGTTCTCCAGATGCTTCGTTGAACGTATTATAAAGTAGGCGTGATTGAAAAAGGCATCTAAAGTGGGCGCCGAAACCCAAGGTCATATAAGCATACATGGTGAGCTTTAATTTAGTCAGCACACAAGATATAACTTATCTAATTGACTACGGTAATTTACTTACTTTTTCAATAGAAAATTCAAGTCAAATTTGTTGGAGAAGCAAGCAAAAGATTGTTAAAATTATCTGCCTCCCTTCGAAGTAAATTAGCAATTGGCAATTTTCAACTTTGAAACATTTTTACAAGATTCTGACAACATTTGGTAAAACTATACTTTTGGCAATTAGTTCATGAAGGCGCGTATTTTATTACAAATCTGGCATTTTTTATATAAAGTTGTAGTAAGTATTTTACTTTTTATATAAAAATGGCTCCATTGCCAAGTGCTCTCCGAGGAAATTTAGCTGCGAGTGCTGAACAAGTTCTACATCGTCCTCCAATGTTTGAAAAGCATTTCAAATCGTCCAGGAATATTCAATACAAACAATTACAAGTTGAAAGAAAATTCTCTCACTACGAACAGGTTAATTTTATTCGTGGTGATATCGCAAATGGAAGATTTTCATCGACCGACCTGTTGGTTTTAGTAAAAAACTAATTCACAATTATTAGGACTAAAAATGTTGTCCTGTTTTGTTATAAAACGTTAAGTGTCCACAGTAAAATATCGATAACCAGCTTTTAAATATGAAGGCAATTTCTCGATTGAGCAAATTATCAGTGCAATGGTTTAGTTGTCGGGCATTGTTCGTGTCATCATGTGTAAATGCGCATAAAGATGGTCATGGTGATCATAAAGTAATATTCCTCATTCGCCACTGTGTCAAAATGTTCAAAGTTCTTTATTGTTCAAAAACCGCGTAAACGTGATATTTTGTAATTTATATTTCCAGAAAATCTTCAGCGCGCCCATAGATAGATGCAATACAAAAATGCCAAGACGTTTGCAAACGAGGTTAGTAAATTGATGAAAACTCAAATTAAAAAGTGGGTAGATAATCATATTCATCTCATGAAAGAGGAAAGATAACAAAATGGCTCACTGATGTGGTGAGCCGTAGTATCTGTGTACTGGTCATCGATATATGGCCAGGCATAAAGTTATAGAGCAGGCTCTATTTGTCGCAATGCCCAACAGTACCAGGACACTTTGTGGGAAACTACCAGTGCTTCAACTTTTTTTTTGCAGCAAAGTAACACAACGCATTCCAAACTCGAGGATCGATGAAGAAAGAATAAAATGGAATGAACGACTGGCTGCTTGGTTGCAGGAAGATAAGGTGGCTCTTTATTTTTATGATTTGTCTTGTTACCTTAATAAACACATCGTTGAACTTTTTCTCAATAATTGTATTGCTTCTAGACGCCATCGCTTGAATATATCAAGATAAGCGATCAATGTACTCCAATTGAAAAGCAGCTATATTACTGCTCTGCATGCCATGAATTTTTTCATCTAAATTTAAAAGAAAGAACAAAAAGAATTGCTTGCCCCAGGTACTTTTTTATTTTGGTAAAGGTACAAAATTTCATTATAATATAAATTCCCTAGAACCACTTTAACGCTTAAATTTTGCAAATTCAACACAACGATTGAAAACAATAATTGTCTATTGTTACACTATTTAAAACAGAATGTGCAACTTTTAATACACGAGGGACAGCTACAAATAACTGGATGACACCGCGGGCCGCACCTTTACCTAACATGGGTAGTTGCAGACACAAAAGTTTTGGGTATTGATCTTGTGACATGCGTTGTTCGCTTTGCACAAGCTCAGATATAAGTATTGCAACGCAAAGAAATTAGAATTACTCGCACATACAAGATTAAATGAAAAACTCGTTTCGCTGGCCGGACACCATTCAAAAGTGGCGCTTCTCCGCGGGTCGCACAAGTTTTCCTTGTGGGCCCCATTTGGTCCGCGGGCTGGAGGTTGCGCACTTCTGATTTAAACATTCGACATTACGCCGTATACTGGAAAAAAACATTGTTTTATAAATCATAAGTAACAATACGCGAAATAAATGAAGAAAGAACAGCGTTTAGATATTTGCGACCTCCAGATTCATTCATGCAACATTCAAATGTAGAACTTGTGTCTCTATTTCTGTTGCAGATTTAAACACCATGGTGAAGACCATGTACGACCAGTTACTATTAAGACGTCAAAAAGACGAATCAGCAAGCGACCCCCATTAGTCGCCCAAGATCCGTTTGGGAATAGACAGAATTTGAATATTCCTTCACTGCAACCGCCTAAACTTTTCAAACGACAACCAATGAAAGGTAGTACGACTACATGTGTATAAACGCAAATAAAGTATTTAAAATACACAGGTGTGAATCATAGTATCCTCTGATACTCATCGACGGATAAAGCAACCAGTTTTTTAAATGCCGTGTATTGCTATTTTTAATGATTTAAAATGTTTTATGACCAGAGTTGAAGGTTATTTACAAGTTAACAAAAAATAACATAAGAAAGTTAAAAACCAACATCCTTATTCATGCAGAATATAACATAAAAATATACCATGAACTATCCTGCACACGCATGTTATTGTAATCTAATAAAAATTAACAAGACGATCCAATTTTTTTGTTTCATTCAGTTGTTGTCGATGTACCTCGATTACCAAGTCTTACGAAAACGACCGCCAGTGAAAAGACAGTGTCTCCTAGAACGATCTCAAGAAAAGGCGATAAATCTCCAGGTCGTTCTTCAGAGGATATCGAAAATACCAAGCCAATAGAGCGGAAACCGTATGTACATTTATTTGTTCCAGGAATGAATTTGAGAAAATCTATTTTGTATTATGTGCAATTCAATTGGTACAACAGTAGCTGTGATATAATTTCACGCCACCGTTTTTCAGCTTCAACCTTTTCACTTAAAAAATCGTATATGATTAAGCTAGCAAACAATTATAACACATCATGTATTTTTGTGAAACATGGGTTATTAGCTTGATGTAGCTAAAAGTGAGCTTATGTTGATTATATGTATTTAAACTCTCTTTTCGGATTTTTTCCCTGGGAACAAGCTTTCACCCCTTTCATTCATATAAGGATTCCTCCATTCACAGGTCACCCGTGATACTGCCTAATATTTTCCAATCACCAGCAGCATACAGTGAGTACGAAAATTTACAATTAGAAACTAATCAAACGAATAAATAAGGATTGGATCTTGGATGTTATTTATTCGATACGTCATAGGCTAGAAGTACACAAATATAATATATCAGCAGTTCCCAAACTTTTTGTTCATTCGGCGCCAAATTACCAAGGAAAACTCATGGCGCACTTACACGAAAAAAATTGCTGCCTCAATTTTGTGATCGTTAATATGTACTTTATGCCTTTTAAATTTATACACATGTAGGCCTAAAGAATAAAGCACTATCAACTCTTCTTCCTCATATCTGCCTGATTTTCCTTTGAAACACTAGAAAATCACTCATGTTGGCTAAACTCGGTTTAGAAAATAAATAAACTGCAGCTCGCGGAATTGCAGCAAGTAGTGTCCACCTCTATTGTTATGTAACAAGAGGCAATCACTACATAACAGTTAGTAGCCTAAAGTTCTAAACAATTGGAAAGGTAATATAAATTTATTGATTTATATACACAGAATTTAAAATAAGAAACAATTAAAAATTTTTAATAACTACAATACGTAAAATATTTAAACATATATTAGTTATGTTTATCACAATTCTGTAAATTTTCGGGGCGCACTTGGCTAATCGCCGCCGTTTAAGAACAGCCGTATTGTATAATACGGCTTGAATACGTATTGAATACGGTGTTTTCCTGAATTCTATATTTATTGGATGTCGCCAATATTCGAATATGCGTTAGCAACTTGCCCTCTGCGAGAATAGATCTTTGTACAAGTACACCTATTCGTTTCAAAATGAATGAAGAAGCATAATAGAAAATATTTATTGGGTGGTAATATCTCAGGTATGCCTGAAACTGAGTCACCCGAGTACACACCAGTTTTGGAGTTGGAAATTTCCGAGGAACCTATCATTACTGAACAAAGTGAAAAGCCAGAGATTGATATTACACCAATTGAAGTATCACCAGGTAATAGATGTGATCGGTTGGAAAAATGTAGTAATTTGTAGAAAAACTTGTAGGTGGGTTTTGTAGTTTCCTGCTGAATATTGTAATATTAATTACGTGGCATTGCTATTTGTAGCCTACTATGAATAATATTTTGCTGCTAATATGTTCAAATTCATGAAACTTTGAAATTAGTTTAGTGAGATCTGCATCATCCCTATGAGGGGAATCTCATAACTTAACAATCCTGTTCTTTTCTGGCCAGCACTGTTCCCTTTCATCTGGAGCAAGGAGACTACTTTTCTCCACTTCAGTAAAGATTAATTGTTGTCGATGTCAAGTAATGATTAAATATTGGAAATATCATTCATCATATGTATAATATACCGAAGGTTCATGATAAAAAAGCATGTTCACGTTTCAATGTAATGAATTCAATTTACCTTTTCTTTAAAAATTGCAGACCAGTGTAACTGAGCTAGAATGCAACCAGAAACCAGAACGGTTTTTACTCTGCTTAACATTTTAGAGGATGCACGGTTGATATTGACAATTGCTTGTACAGTAATACAATTTTTGATATCTACCAAATAGTAATCTGGTTACGCAGATGGCGTACATTCTTGCTGCTGGTAGTTCTTTGCATAATATACAAAATCGGGTGCTCCAGAAATGTCGCACAACCTGAAACCTAACCGGTACACACATACTATGTTCAGGTTGTGCGCCATCTCGGTGCGCATACTTCTGGAGGTCCCAAAATCTTGATTGTGATTCCACAATACATCAGTAGGTCTAATAGGTTTTTAGTGAAATAAAGATAATTTTCGTTACGCAGAACTTGTGGCTGAGCATGGCTTGGAAAATGCTAGTGCTTGTATAGAAGAGTTTGATCGTAATTTCGTAGAGAACTCGTTTGATGACGTAGCATCAAACGTTGACGTAGCATCAAACGTCGCATCAGAGTTTTGTGATGTAGAATCGATTGAGAATGATGAAGCAAAATTATCTGATATCGACGAAGAAGAGATGTTTGAATCGCAAATTGAAAATGACGCCGATGTTAATGGATACTTCACTGGTACATCAATGTTTCGAACTGTCAAAATTAATTTATTCAGTCCCTCAAACCTACAGTATCAACCGCAATATGATATTACGTAAATATTTAAATAAACAAATAAATATTAAATCTATGCACTGCCAAGAATTCACTTTACCTTGTGCATTCTTTGATTAATGCATATCATTGACCACTGAAATTTTTTTAATTTGCTGATTATAGTTGCTAGAATTTAGTTCTTAAACTATTTGTATATATCTAGCAATTTTCGAGTGTCTGTTAAACTTAAATATTGCATTACATTTAAATAAGATGGAAGTATTTATCAGATTTTGACTGACCTTATTGACCAAATGAAAGCGACAAAAAATCTGAATCTTCTATCTAGCGTCAGCACTGAGAAAACTTTCAAAGTGTTTAGTCATTCTGACCCCTTATGGAGCACCAAAATAAGTTGTTTGCCCTATTAGTCTTCCTACTCGCATCAACCCATTTTGATATTTTATTTGTATATATAAAGAGCACAATATGAAAAAGTTTTCATGCTCTGTTTCATATTTCCAGACACAGATATTGAACTTGATATCCGATCTCCCAGTATTACGTCACAACAAGAAAGACAGGAAAGTAAATCTCCGCCAGGTAAGTCAATCCGTAGTTAACGAAGCGCTCGATGTATGAGACTATGTCACTAACTGTGAAACTATCAAATTACAATAGGAGCCCTGGTTTAGTCTTATCCACGATGTTAGTTGTAACGAAAACAAAGTTTTTGGAAAATCATACCTGGATAATCAACCGATCCATCTGCATTCATGGCCATATTCAGTGGGCCAGATTTTGAACGTTGACGGAAAGACCGATGTATATTTGCCTGTATCCCCAGAGTATAATGCTATCAAAGTCCGGATCTTTAGTACAACGCCCGCGCCACCGCTCAAACTAAAATTAGTGATTACTGTATTCAGTTAGGGTGAAGGCTAGGAATGCAGATTACGCTGCAAATCAAATCCTAATTTGAACTTGGACTAATTAGTAATTTGTTATGTTAAAACGTGGCATGGGTGCTTTTCTCAAATCTCACATTTTTGGTATTAGTGGTGGGGGCTTTGTACAAAAGATCCCAAAGCCCTACAACAACACATGCTCGTGGTAACATGCAAGGCGGAACAAAAGATTCGCATAGCCTATGCTAAGAAGGAAAAAAAAATACGAAACGCATTGATTGAATTGGGTCGAGTCTTTGATGTGGTACGCACACAGGGAATTGATTTTCCCTCAGTTTAAATAACTAACTGATCGCTTCTGTTTACGAGCAGTCATTCGCCTTGTATACGTAGTTGTTACATTATGTTACACTACGTACTTATGAGTTCATTATACCAAACTCCTATGACATCATAAATAATTTTTTACACTGGTTGTTGAATTTTGGCAACTTGTGAGAAGGGTAAACAGAATCCGAAAAAGAGCAGTCCTAAGAAATGAGCCTGGTTTGACTCATCTCAAAACCACATGTACGACCTCTGAAATTTCATTCAATGCTAATAATCAGGCTAGAATCTAGAATAAATCTAATCAAGTGAATACCCATAATCAACTTCGACGGTGTTTTATTATTTATTCTACAAACATGATGCTTTTAATGATATTAAGTTTAGTTTACATAAGCGTTATGTCCAATTCCGCATTGAAAAGCTCATACTGCAATCACTCATATTCAAACGACAAATATAAACATCAAAGAGCGTCCACCAACATCTGTCCCAAATCATTCAAACTAAAAGACGTGCAAAATAGTGTAATACATGACAACATTTCCATATCAATCATATGTATATATAATATATATTATGTTTTTGACCCTAGCAGTGCGACCCCGACCTCCTCCACCAGATTTGCCAACATTTCGCATGAAAGAATCTCCAGAATTCCAAGATTTCGGAAAGAAAGCCAAGCCACGAATTCAACGACGACAAGCGATGTTATTGCCAACGTCTAAGCCAGGTGCGTAGAGTTTAAGTATATATAGTAAGTACAATGATGAATACATACTGAATGTTGTTGTTTTGACGAAGTCGTTTCTCTTTTGTTTTGTCGTTTAGTCTTCTTTCGTCCTGTGATTAAACATTGTTGCAAAAGACACTACATCCTAAACCTTATTCGTTTCTAATTTCAGAACCTAAACCGAAGTTGAAGGAGAAAGCACCAAAAACAAAAAGAATGTCCAAGGAAGAGTATGTTTGATTTTATTGTTTTTTTTCTATTTTTTCAGTCCACATAAGCCCATCACGATCCGTATAGGCTATTTGTCGGACAGAAAATGTCCACTCCTTAGGGCAGCGTAGTCCCGAAAATATAATTTAATAAATCATTGTTTTAATGTAGCATAAACGTTATAGAATTGCAGATGGAAAATAGACTCGTTTTATCAATGCCCAGCTGTTTCTCAGTCATTTCGCCGCCAAATACATTTCTCCCGGCCATAATCAGGCGATATTGCTGTTACATCAAATCAACAACAATACTGCTGAACTTTAAGGGCTAGCTGTATGAGCTGACGATTCTATACAATCCTGCCACTGTGATTTGCACATGATTTCTCGCTATATGATTGGTAAAGACAGATTTTTCCTTGTGATAACTGGAAATCATATTTTGGTTCCAGGCTATCAGAGGACCGACTGCCTCTCTTGCTTGATCAGAGTCAAATACCAATTACTGTCACAAATATGTTTCTTGTCAAAATTTCTTTAAAATTCAACTTATATGGAATATTCTGCTCACCTTGGAAAATTTATATCTACTCATGCAACCCACCAAACTAGCAGAACTATTATGCGACACTGGAAATAAATAAATATACCCGATCCAAAAGCTGCCAATTAGACACATACACGGAAGCAATGCGGTTGTCCAATATTATGAGCAAAGCAAGTAATTGGCAAAATCAGTAAGATTACAGTTGGGAGCAATTAATTTAAAGCTTGATTATCTTGTAGCCAAAATTGCTTCGTGCTACTCATCTTATCTCTGCTCATTCGAAGAGGTCACTGCTTGGTGCCTGACCAGCATTCTTCCTCCGAAGTATGTTTTCGTTTTAGATCCCAAAATGATTCAACAGAGTAACATGAATTAGCTGGCAATATTTTCAATCACTTAAATTAGTTACTCGATGGAACTTTGTGTTTGCAAGATGACAGAACCAGATTAGCGTATTCGTACAGCCTACAGTAAGGCATACACTCCAATATCAGAAATCCAGTTTGACAACATGTCCGGGCCATCCACTCCAAACAATAGTCAAATAGTAGTTTACCAGCTTTAGCAGCAAATACCACTATCCACAAGTAATTGATAGATCGATTGATTGATAGTTCGATATTCTACCACTATTGTAGAAAGCAGCACCGCTGACATTTAGGCCCACGGGTTGAAACCTTCGGGTATTTTGTGCCAAATTTTTATTGACCGACATAATTTATCATAACAAATATGATTTGAAGATGAGTCTGTTGGGTGATAATGGGAACAGCTTTGCGACTTCTTAAGATATCGGTATTTCGATGGAAGGTTTTATTACATCGTAACAGAAATCTAGTAGCCATTAGGATTTTTCGGTAGCAATTAAGAACGTTATTCAAAACGCATACGATACAACAGACTCACACAATTAAGTAACCATAGACAAATATTTGTTGCAAAATGTTTTTGAGGAACTTTAGTAATGTGGAATTCAATACCATTTATTGTTTTCCTGATTAATTTGACTTACAAGTTTCGTCAGAGTCACGATTTTGTAGGTTGTCAGTAACTTTTGACATATTATTGGTTTGCCCATATAACCTTGCTCAGTGGTAAATTTAATATTCTTCCGTCAGTGACCGTGATCTTCTTTGGATCGAATTCTCATAAAAAGACACCATTAATAATATTTATTTGTTTTATTCATACATTATTATCAATTTCCCTGTATAAACTTGGTATTTATATTTTACTAGGATGACAAAACGAATGCAGCGGGCCAAAGCTATAGATGGATATCGGAAAAGGTATGAGTTCGGAACGGAGGAATGGACAACAACAGACGATGATGAAAGTTCTGTGGCATCAGATGCAGACATATATGATGGTAACTCCACAAATACGTAACTGTGGAAAAATCAACTTATGTTGAAAATATAATAACTATGATTTATAGCAACGTTTTTAAACTGTGTTCCGAGGAACACTGCTGTTCCGCGAGCTTCTTCGGAGTGTTCCGCGGGACAGGGATCGAAATTGCGACTGAATTGGTCGGTATGACGATATTCCTGGTCGAAAATTTTTCTCCCAACTGGCGACAAACAGACAGGCAGGACTCGTGCCATTCTGGAAAACATGGCGTTTTTGTTAACCGTCTCCGACCGATATTCTCGTTTTTTAATTGTTAAGTTTATACAAAACTTTTTAATTTTACCATAGGCTAATTTCTTTTTGAAACTACCCTTCTCAAACGATTGTTGGCTCAAAACTGAAAGCCCCAAAGGATGTCGTGATAAGCCGGTTGTGCAGGTTGACGCAAAAAAATAAATCTATTTCACAATTTGACAGAAGAAGTTCGAGAAATGATGTAATAGCAAAAAATAATATACTAAGGGAAGTAAACTGCCTGCAACTTGAATATTGATTTAGCACACTACTACGTTATTTTTATTTATGGTGTATGACCGGTCTAGAACAAAATAAAACCTGATTGTAATTGTTTCCCATACGAAATTGATACAAACTAGTTTTAGGGTACAAAATTGAAATCCAATCGAAATTTTTCTTCCTTTAACTGCAGTGATATAAAAAACAACATTTCATGCGGCGTTTTTTTTCGGTAACTTCTTTTTGTAGAAATTTCTGTTACCAACAGTTAGTCAGTTCGTGTCAAATCTCGTGTTAACCAGTTCTTTCGCCAGTAAAAAAAACTAATCCGCCAGCAGCTCGTAGATTCATGTGATGGCGTGAGTTCTAGCGGTATTGCTTCCCATGAAACCTCATAAAATCTTGGAATGGAAGTAATATTTATCGTTGTGCTATATAAAATTACCTTTCTTTATATTTTCAGACTCGTTTCTCGAAAAATATTGCCTTGTTGATCCTAATCATCTAGAATATTGCAAAAAGAGATTCCATAAAGTAAGTTAATAATCATAATCAAAGTACAGTACTAGTATTAAATCAGATTCAGTCACCCGGATCCGATAAAATCGACTCAACCCCATCACTACAAAAAGTTAAAATAAATAAATTGTCTAATTTGATACTTGAATCGATGTAGAAAATCCTTTCAGAATAAAAAAAAGAATTTCATTTGCAAATACGTATCATTAGCAAACCAAAACCTATTTGTTGTTTTATTGAACAAAGTATAAAATGATGGCAATATAGCGATGTAAACTTGAAGGATTTTCTAACACGAACTTCCAATAGGTTAACTACTAAATCGAATTTCCCTGAGTATAGACTTGTGCGGGGGGAAGACAATTTGAACAAAATATGTTTATACCACATTTTATGATTTTCTTTTCATTTTAGTATGACAAAGACAAGGACGGATATTTAACAAGCGAAGAAGTTGTTAATTTAATTCATAAAATGTTTTCACCTAGAGTACTGGATGACGTTCATATGTGCTATATATTTAGGGTAAGATGGCTGCTATTTGATAGTGGGATGCATCGTTTACTTTTTTCCTATAAAATGAAAGATATCAACTCTGTAGAAAGTAGAAATAATAATCATCCCAAATTTAAAGTATCTAGTCTCACATTTCCAAAATATTCAGCACAATTTCAATTCAAAAATTGGTAGCCTGATAATTAGCGACAAACAACATCTTGCTATGCTATTAGATTCTGGACTCAGCGATGGCCAAATCCGAAGAATTCAGTATTCTGAATACATTCTAAAATATGTTTTCAGATTAGAATATGAAATATCTAAAACATACTGAAATGTGTCTGTTCCTTGATAGAAATTCTTCACGACAATTGTAAATTCGGAAAAATTAAATTTGGTTGTGCGGAATAATTGATATAAACATTATTTTAATTAATATACTCTAATCTATTCCGTCAGAAGTTCACTATTTTTGTGTATCATGGTAAATCATCAGAATATTAATCAAAATATTCTTTTTAATATTATATTATTAAACTATTATATTCGTATATTCGACTGATTTTGGACATCCCTGGCTCTGATCATTTGCGATTTTTGAATATCATAGTTCTCAGAGAGAATAATGGATTCCCAAAACAATATGCTCACTAAACATCGGAAATATTGCCGCGTTAACGTATAGATTTGATTTTGTTTGTATTTCCCAATTTTCTTAACTTTGTCAAATAAAATTAATTTGTATTCAACGTTCATTTAACTTTCTAGATACTTGAAACGACAAGTTATGACGTATTTACTGACAAAATGAATCTGAAACTGTTTGCAATAGTAACTGCACTTGCAAAAAAGATTAGTCAACTCGAGTAAGTTCCATTAGTTGACTTCCAATTCTTTTCCGCTCATGTTCGTATAGTTTAAGTCACAATCTTCTTTATTTGACAAAATCATGGTGATATAACTTTCTAACGATTTAAAATAATACTTCTTGGGAATTGAAGATGTTTTTTATGAATCAGGCAATACATTTGCACTGTAGATATAAGACAACAATGTAGATTTGGATTTTCGAAGTTTGTATTGCTTGAATATCAAGTTGATAAAAGGTTTTCCACGTGTAAAAAATAAATATTATGAATATTGTGAGCATGGCACACGAATTGCTTGCTATAATAGTGTCCAAGATCGAGTGCCAAAATATAAAATACTATATGAAAATTGTTAGAAATGCTGGTGCTGGAAGCTAAAGTGCTGGTTATGTCCAATAATGTAGGCAACAGACGCTGTTCGCGAACAGTATTAGCTTAGTCTTGATGATTTAGAGAGCAATTACATTTATTTCACCACATTCTAGTAACCATATGAAGTATTTAATTGGGCGAGTCAACATTGAAGTTGTTGATTGGAAACTTTGTCGCGCAAGACAATTATTCGAACAAACGATGAGAAGAAACGCACAAGGAAATTATAGAGTACCGATGGAATCTCTGTGGCTGGAACTTCATGCTGGCGGAATATCGGAAGAACATGAAAACCAGGTAAAATCTCGTTGCGCGATTGTAAAAACCTCGTGTGACATAATGCAGAACATAATCGAATAGCGTTTAAAATGGTGTTACAGACGCTCCTAAATGTCGTGAATCAAAAGTATTATTACGGTATTTAGGTTTATTATGTTTCAATATTTTGCTATTTGTACTATGGCAGATTTAAAGTTGATATGTTACAAAATATATTTTATTTTCCAGGCAAGACGAACACTTGCTCACATGAAAGAAATGGATTTAATGGATTTTTTGACTTACCTTCCTCTGTTTCTTCTCGTCCACTCTCAAGTAGTGAAAAATCCACTCAATTCAGATAGACATATTTAACAAAAATGACGTTATAAAGTGCACGAAGTATAATATTGTAGCAAATTTCAGTTATAACTATATTGAATTGCACTTAAACGAGAATTAATGGAATCATGAAAGCTCTTATCTCTCGTTCATGTTGATAATCAGGAGGAAAGAGACCACTAATGCAAATATCGACAGGATACCTGCAGATTTTAAGATTCGAATTTAAAAGAAAAAGACAATTATATGTAAAAACACCATTTTAGTTTTATCGTCGCCAAGAGTGATTACTGCTGATATCATTTCTAGAGTAAAACAACTTTTGACTTTTGAGTAGTCAAATTTTGAAATAAAATTGTGATTGTGCACCAATCTGTTTTCACGGCTCTGTTTACAGATGGGCGCGTAACCTTGATTTTGAAAATAGGGCAAGAGATTTCACTATACTAATCAGGAAAAATCGTATTCAACAACTTCCGATTACAACGATGTTGTATTTCTTCCTGTGAAAAAGAAATGACCGAAAACTATGTCTCTGGACCATGCATGTTAAGTGATTATATCTCGTGCGCATTTGATTGGAAAGCACTCCTAAGGTCAAGAAAAATTTCGATTATGGATCAATATTCCTGGCATGTGTTGTTGTATATTTCTGGATATTAATCTATTACTTCATTGGTTTGACTGTCATTTGTATTTGTATTATATCGTGAGTGTAGAAAAGAAAGCGTGGTGTCATTATAGCAGCTTCGCTCAATGATAGATATATTATATTTTGAAAACAAATTCACAAAAGTCTTATATTTAAGCAGCAATTTCAGATTGTAGTTTTCAGATATTTGTCTTTGAATGAGTGCTTTGGGATCTAGTACTGTCTCACATATCACGCTCTCGCATTTCGAAGGGAAAAATCTCTGAAACTGTTGCGGTGTCAGTAAATCAATGGTGGAACTGATGGTTGTTCAAGATGTAACTCACTTGAAGGCACTTGACTCAGGCACCAATGAATACAATGTATGACAGTATTATAATTGTTGGAAAGTTTTAGCTGTGTTTGTCGAATCATTGCTAGATTTGGCGAAATGTCTTGAATAAATTCAAGTAAAATTTTGTCTGTCGAATTTAGTATAAACTTCAATATCAAATTCCTCATTGCACCAGCGCTTATATCTTGGGTTGAGTTAGATGGGGTGGAAGTAGTGTCTGAATATCCCGTTCATATATACTGTATCAGCATACAATAAGTTAGTTAGTACAAATTTTGGCGATAATCAATACGTAGCGTACTAATATGACTATACTGATTATTCTGCCTCTTTACAACGATACCAAGGCTACTAATTATTAAACTGCGTGATTGATCAAAGTCGTGATTGATCTCCCACTGATGCATGCTGTACAAGTTGAAGCGAACGAACTGAATATTAGGTCTGACAATCCAATATAGATTTTCTGAAGTTCATGACAACTAACTCATCAACCCTCAAAATATTATAAACATCGGCAGGAGGATTCAATGTTGTCTATGTTTTTTAGGAAATATGGAATGAAACTGAGATTTATCGCGTCAAATAAACCATTTGTATTGATACTATGTAAATTTAACGAATATTCGAGAGTTGAGAATATAGGAGTTTCTCATGTTTTGTGCATTACTGTTTTGGTTGGATTCAATTTCATAATTGCTATTGAGGTTTAAGTGTATACATTTGAGGAATCAGATTGGGGTTTACTCCGCTGACGTATGTATAATAGTACCGGGGTAGGACACGCAGATAAGGAACCATATCACCCCCTGTTTTTGTTTGTTATTATTCAAAGACTAACATCATGAGCGACCGCAAAATACGACAGCAGAGCTAACTGTTCTTATTAACAACTACTCTGTCGAAACAGACAAATGATGAGAAATTAGCCATTGTGATCATTCACTCGATAATAATGTAATTTGATTAATGATATGTAGTAGGAAAATTGCATACGGTCAAAATTTAAATATAAAGAAACTAGCGTTGAGAAAGTTTGCACGCATTCGAAACGATCTTCGAGCAAAACAGTTTGTGTTCTTGTTCGGCAAACACTTGATTTCTTTAAGTGGTTCAGGAGTCATCTTCATTATTGCTACGACATTCTTGCATGATGCGATTCATGATACCGATCCACCACAACTATTTTGTCCGACTACTATAATCCACAATGACAGTTTTTTTTTTAAATATGACTGTAGTTATATTTGTAGATTCAAATAAATCCTCGGCAAGAGAACTCACTATGGAATGATATTTTAATGATTATTAGCAATGACTGTCTCCGTTTGTTAATATTGATAAGCTTTTGTATAAGGTTTCAAGCTTAAATACAAATAAATTAAGAAGGCAAACAGGTATTAGCAACAAACTTCAAAACGAACAGTGCGGATTCGAAATTGAAAAAATTTAAAGAAAGTATTGCCGATGCCAACCTTCAAAATGTGGAGCGACTTGATCTTGCTATATTTTTGATAGACCAGTTCGTCACTTGATGCAATGAAGTTGGATGGTATTCGTATTAAATTTGTCCTATTTGCTCTTGGATGCTTTGCAATATTAGGTGTACTATGGGTAAATGCGAATTTTGAGTTTATCTGTTTCGGATACTGATTTATTGCAATGATTTATAGCCATATACCTACCTACCTACCAATAATAAAACAAATTTCTATAACATAATTAAAATGTAAATGAATTCGTCATTAATTCTTGTTTTCAATGGAGCATAGGATTTAGCACAATGAATTATCTAATCCACTTTCAAATTTCATAAAATCGTTTTTGTTGCAGGAAAATAAAATATCAAATGGCCTGTACCAATTGACTCCCATGAAAGGTATCGAAAGAAATACCATCATATCTGATGAAAACTTGAATAGTCTACAGCTTGAAAGGAAGCCTGAAATGAAGGACGTCGATTGTTTGGGAATAATTAATGGCGACAAAAAAGCATTAGACAAGGCAAAAACCACACTAAATAAAATTAAGGTAATAATAAAAACCCTTGGTAGTCAGCCCATTATAGCAGTAGATATATCCGACCAGTTGGCTATCTCGTACAATATTTACAGTTGAGTCAAAGTTCCTCATAATATATAACTCATACATTTTAAATGATTCTAATATTCCACGCTATATTATATTTCAGAGTTCCAATACACAAAAAGAAAGATTAATATTACCTGACAAAGATATTGTGAATTGGACTGCCAATTGCAATACATTTGTGCTGTCACGAAAATATATTACGTCATCTTTATCTCAGGAAGAAGCAGAATATCCGATAGCATATATCATTAGCATTTACACGTAAGTGAACAGTTAGATCTTTGTAGAGCCCTAGATACATGCATTGATAGGGGAACTATACTTACTTTGGAGTTCTTGGAGAACTATACATTGACTATAGAGTTGGTCACGCATATTGGAAATGCAGATAGAGACTATGAGATTTTTCACTGGGTCGGCATGTTATACACAACTACATATTCACCCACATTGTGAAAATTGCAAAGAGGAATTCTTTAAATCCGATATCTCCAGTAATACAAAGTGTCAGAGATAAAATTGTTAATAATTTCAGAGATCTCCAATCATTTGAACATCTATTGCAAGCGATTTACCGACCGCAAAATATTTACTGCATCCACGTTGATCAGAAGTCTCTGGCTAAATTTCAAACGGGTGTTATGAAGATAATTAGATGTTTTGAAAATGTTTTTCTGGCGTCAAAAATGGTAAAGGTTTGGTATACGCATTGGACAATCGTTCAGTCAAGTTTAAACTGCATGGAAGACCTTGTAGACCGGTAAGAACTCTTAACAGCTAGTCTATTCAACAGTTAGTTTATATTACCTATATACTTGATCTTGTGTTGGTTTAGAATCAATTCGAGGTGAATGATTTTTTTTTGAAGACGCGTTTCATTAAATTATAAATTGAGCCGTCTGAGGTTTACCAAATATACGAACTAGCAATCTACGACTAAAGTTTTGTTTCTATTCATATAGCAAACTGAATCATCCTTGGAAATACGTCATCAATACCTGCGGTCAAGATTATCCCACAAAGACCAATCTAGAAATTGTTCATGCTTTGAAAAATCTTAATGGAAGCAATAGTGTCGAGTCGGTCACATTAGAACAAGGAAAAGGAAAATCAAAAAGGTAAAATTTTGGCGTAGCTCACATCAACTATATATATAAGCACTTCTTCAAGGGAGTCTGGCCTCGATCAATCCAAACGTTTACTTGAAGATTAAACTTTTGCTGTGCAGCAAGATTCTTGTGGCTTTCAAGTCCTCAGTTTTATTGCTAATGCCATTTGTGGCTTACTCATACACATTACCCAATTCATAACCTGGATCAGGGAGGCAAACATTTAACACTGAAGGAGGCACAATTTACTTTTTTATCGTGATTAAGACAAATTTTGGTCATGCGTTCACAGAGTTTCAGTTTACATTTATCTGGGTTATTAATATAGCGTTACCGGAATGTAACGTTAACCTTTTTTCCAAATTTCGAGGAGTACAATAATGGATATTCCCCAAATCTTTCTGATTACCAGTGAATCAGTGGTTCGCCATCCTTGGTCTGAATAAGTTGAGGAGGGAATTCATGAAATATTAATAGCTTGTGGAGAGTTCGTCGTATTGATGTGTTCCATTCGTTCGAGTGGGTATGTTAAAATAGCAAGTGCACTAAATGCTTCATTATATATTTTAGGTTTGAATATTCCTATATTCACCCTAAGCAATTTGAACATACGCATGATAATGCAATATCAACTCGTATTAAAAAGCAACCTCCGCCAGATGATATTGAGATATTTACAGGCAGTAATTACTACATTTACAAGAGAGAAGCAGTTGAATTCATTGTACATGGTATAGACATATAAATATAATTTTTCGAAATTTCTATAAATTCATTAACTGTAAAGAGAAGTGACAACAATTTCCGATATATATATATATATGATATATTGACCCACATTTCATAAAAGCAACTTTTGAAATAAAACAGGATTTCACCTGTACCATGCATGTTTGTCATCTCGTATCAGCAATCCGACCAAATTTTTCATTCTTGAATCATAGACGAGATGTCACGTCGTAACGTTAATCACCATCTGCGTGGTCTATAAGATAAGTCTATTGCGTTAATGAGTCAAATAGCATTTGTGTCTGCTCATCCCGTGTATTCTTGATTGCCTGAGTTAAACCTGATTAGGGCCTGCGATTTATATTAGTACTGATATTATTGATACTGTAAACTAAATGCCAAGTGACAAATATATCTGTGGAAGTCTGTAGCCTACTTACAGAAGATATGAAATTATGTGAAAAAATATTCAACTTCTCTTCAGATAAGAATATTCGTCAATTTTTTGAATGGAGTAAAGACACAAAAATACCGGATGAACAGGTTTGGGCCACATTGCAACGAATGTATCCAATTTTTCCCGGTAGTTCTCCAAAAGAACTCGGTAAAAAGAGAATAAATGGAATTGCCAGGACGGTGTTGTGGAGAGGACCGAATAATTCGCATACCTGTCGAGGACAATATATACGCAGTGTCTGTGTTTTCGGTTTTGCTGATTTAAAGTGGGTAGTTTCGCGCCCGAATTTGTTTGCAAATAAATTTCGTCCTAATGTTGATATATTTGCAATGAACTGTTTGGCAGAATGGCTTCGAAATCGAACTATTAATACGACTATTAATGAGCGGTCTGTTTGACTCAACAAGCTTGGATTTTTTTGTTCAGCATTTTATCTTTTGTACCTTTTGTTGGCAATGTCTAGACTAGAGCATTTCCTGCTTGTCTAGCACGTTCTTTTATATTTGTTTTAAATATGGTTAATTTGTATTTTCAAGAGGAAGATTTGTTTGTTATTGCGTTTAACAAAATTGCATCCAGACACTCCTAGTTGTATTTATCTCGCAAGGGCACGGTAGAGAGTCAGATTGCCAATAAGATAGTTCATCATCGATTGGCCAAACTTGAAACACACAAGAGATGCCATTAAAACCGAAAAAGGTTTTAAAACAAAAGCTTTTCTAAAAACGAACCGACTAGTTGGTTCTTAAAATGATATTACCACACTTCAACGAGCCTTCTTTGTGGGAATTATCTGAGTAAAAGATGAACGAGATAGCGGTCAAAGACCGCCGACTTATCGATCATCATACTTCTCTCCGACTCAATAGCGACACCGCGTGTCCCATCACTAATTAATTATTAACTCGCTGATTATACAACATAATTCATCCAAAAAAGGCCTCTGGTCCGAGATATGATGAATGCACATGCAAAATTCGGAGCAGATTCAAGCTTGCTTTCGTGAGATATCGCGTAACAAGAAACAAACAGACAAATACTTATAAACATACTTACTGGTTCAATACGAATAGACTTTTAGCATTATATGATTATACTGGTTATCAAAGGTTGTTCTAAACTGGTTAAAATGTTAAATAAATTATCTTATTGGATATGCAATATATAGAAATATTCGAATTCCATGACGATCATGGTGTTACAGTCAGGCGTGACCAAAACGATTCGAAGTCACTGTTTGGAATCCGCATGTTAAACAAGTGGAAAGTAATCAATTCTGATCAACATGATCGTGCGCACACTTCCTGATAAATCATATGCCCAAGATCGCTTCTTGGAAAAATTGTAAACAGCCATTTATAATCTGGCGTTTTTCTTGAATGTTGATCACAAAAAGCGATTTTAAGTTCATCCATGAAATTTTCCGTAATAATTTTTATGAAACATGAATAATGGACGGGACCTACTAGTCCATGTAAAACAACAGCCGTTAAACATATTTTCTCAAACTTGGTGATGATTCCAATTTCACGCTTGAAATCAGAAGCTCAGAAGTCTAATACGTCATCATATATTATCATGGAGCATGAAGTGTATTTTTCCGTACAAACTTTAAACCGACTTGAAACTAGCCTTATAACCCTAAATGTTATAAACTAATTTCATACATTAGTTGAAGTACGGATACAACCAGTATGAGTGGCGGTAACTTACAAATGGGATTTTTATTTGAATACTACCAAATCATATTCTGGAGATGTCGTACTTTTCGAATTGCGACCATCAATGAAAACCGTCTGCGGAATATAATAATTGTGTACGTCATTATTAATTTGTAAGGTTCTCTGCTTTAGTTTTATTGTTCAAGTGCATAATCTAACATATATGAACTTCTGGAATGCAATCAGACCATTTTTCCTAATTCAACAAATACATAGTTATCAGGAATTGTCCAGATTATTGATTGACAGTTGATCATGAAATTCCGATGTTCTGTTTTAATTAGTACAGACGCCAAGTTGCTAAATATAACCTCATTCCGCGGCGGTATTTCAAAGTTAATTTTTGCACCCATTGTGCAAATTTGAACGCTATTGTCTTCGTGAAAAGTAGAGCCAAACTGCGAAATCGAGGGTGGTATCGCGCCTTTCTGGTCCGTACCCCGTTGGGTTCTGATATCGCCGCGTCGACATTTCCTTCTTATACGAGGGGCTACTTGAAAGTAAATTCATTTTTGCGCGGAACTCGCTGGGAGATAAATTTATAAAAGATAATTTAGTCCAGATTCAAAAGACAATGATTTATATTGTCTTCAAATTCAATGACATAAAAAAGACAATAGACAAGACAAGATTGGGAGCACTGGATGATTAAAGCAATGAAGATTGTGTAGAATGTATAGGACTGTATTTATATTTTGCTACAATAGGGAAATTGAGCCCATTGTAAAAGGAAAGAGTTGATGCTTGACATCATATGATGTAGTTTAGCTAGAGCGGCCAATCACGCAAACATGAATAGGATAACTAATTAGTTTTCTTCGAAATTGATCAGTTAAAAAAATATATCTTCTTTGAGGAAGTAAAAAGTACGATAAGAAGTGAGTACGCTAATTATATTATCCTATCGAGACATATTAATATCGAAAGCGAAAGAGAACGCGATGCTCAACTTATGTTATCCGTATAACCATGTTACTTTTATATAGATATATCATCTGGAATTTCGATGCGTTGTCAATGCAAATTATTTTTTCCACGAAATATTGCAAATTCGCAATAAATGTAGAATTAGTGGTATTGGTAATAATCATGTACACAAAAAAATGCTGTATTATTAATATCCAAACGCTAATATCCAATCCTTATAGATTATCACCGGATCACCGTACGCGTACGATGCCTCTGGCGGAAATGTACGAAACCTGGCCTTAGAAAGCTAGAGCAAACTGCTATAGCTACAATGACGCATACGATAACTCTGTGAATTAAAAAGCGCCCAAGTTTTACTATTTCCAGCACCTGAATCATAAAATTAAGGCAAGGCTGGTTTTGATTTCGAAAGAAAAGAACAATTCAGTTGATTTGATAGATACCACAAATTTGCGACCCAAATTAAATTGAAAGTGGCGCTATCGGGAATACACAAATATGCACCCTATATATTGAATCATTCCATTCGTGCACTTGGCTTATCTGATCGTCATAAATTGAAGTGTCTGAAGTGTGATAACAGAATCGATAAATTTTAGTTCAGATGATTCTTTATGTTGCGTTCATTATTATTTCCGCGTATCGTTTCTCCCAGATCCTATAATTTTTTAATAGAATCGATTCAAAATTTTGTCTTCGTCGCTGAAAGAATGTTTTGGCCCCACAGCTGACGAGATTTAAGGTGCCAATAAGTACGCCCCCTGACATCCTGGCGAATTTCGTTCTATGCCATGCCATTTCCTTGTTTAAATTCTACAGGTTGACATGATTATTTGTACTTGTGGTTTGGACGGACATATATTTAAGGCCACTTTATGGCATAAAAACGTATAAAATTGTCTTGGTTTCCTTCTGCCCCGGTTGAGGAAATTTATTCTCTCATTCTCTCATTCCTATCTTTGTTTCCTAAACGAGAGAGGCGGCGTCTCGCGGCGAATAATAAAGAAACGGAAAGATACGCGAAAAAATGGCGACGAATAATGAAATGAGGAAATTGCTCAAGATCTACGAACAGTCTGGCCGATCAGTTGAGCTGGCGACCGGTGTTCGCCTCGGTATCTCGACACTCCTTGGTTTTTGTCGTAATTACATGGTATTTCAGACTAATGTCATCGGTTTAGGCAAAAGGAAACTGATCTAATAAGATAGTTTTGTTCAACATAATACGGTAGTGAGAGTTTCTAGCACAAGATATAGAAAAGTTTGTAATTTTTAGAGTAGCCAATTGGTATTTTGAGAACAAGATTATTACGATTTTAATTACACTTGAAGCATACGAATAGTTTTTGATGTAAACGTTATCTGAAGTGTCATTATGTTCTGTAAATGTACTTTAAAGAGACAGAAAATCCCATATGGACAGATTGAAGTATGCAACCTAATTTAAATTTGGAGTTTGCCCAAATGCTGAAATGATTGTTGTATTACATTTTCAACGGACAATTCTCAGCAGTCTGATGTGAGTGGTTTGGTATATCACGGCACGATTCTATGAAAGTTGCATATGATAACATAGAGATAACTATTAAATTCCCCATTCTGCCATTGTTCAAATAAACGTAAATAAAGTGTGCAAATCGGAAGCCACAAAATAATGCTACGGATCTTCATCATATCGATGGCGAACGAATTTGGTATATTACACACTAACCAAGTACAGAAGTCTCCAACTTGGCATGGCTGGCATAATTCAGTAATTTAAATAAAGTGCGCCAGTTACACCAAATAACGTAACATGCTACTTTTTGTTTTCAGTTACCATTCACAGGGGAAAGTTGTCTCGCCCTAATTGTGTGGGTACTTTTCTTTCAAGTTAATGAATTGGTAATAAGATCGACAGGACTAAAACTTGATCGACCATTTACTTGCCGATAAGAGGAGGTACCATCTAGTTGGGAGTGTTTCAAGGCGTTAAAAATGGTACGCCTCAAGATTCACATAGTAGTAGCCTGTTTCGGCATTCTGGGGCCTGCTCTAGTGAATTGTATGAGCGAATGTTATAATCCCAAAACGGGTGATCCCCAAGTCTGTATACCACCCTTTGTAAATGCCGCTTTTGGCAAAGTAGTTGAGGCAACGAACACTTGTGGACAAGGGGGAAAAAAAGAACAATATTGCCTACAAACTGGCGTAACTGGCGTAAATAAGTCGTGTCATTATTGCTACGAAAGAGATTCAAGTCAGCGCCATGATGCATTTCTTTTAACTGATATTAATGACGAGAGGAGACCAACGTGGTGGCAATCACAGACTATGCTCTTCGACGTCCAACATCCTGCAAAAGTTAACTTAACACTTGAATTAGGTAAGTCTTTGTTTGGTGTATTATTACTTTGTTTATGTAAATGTAAATGTTTTACAAGGACAGGGGTGATTTTGTGATCTAGACTCAAAATGCTACAGTTCCGGCAACTTTCGTCATTTTAAAAGTTAAATTGAAATGAATATGAACAATTTGTGCCGACTGATTTTTTTTTACAATTAGAATCTAAGCTTGAAAACGAGCCACTGTGCCAGTAGCATGTATTTGCATTGTTAATGCTGTAATGTGCTATTGCAGTAGTAACTCTTTGCGTATTGACACGGAATTCCTGATTGTCTAAATTAAATATTTAGAATGTTTAGTCTTCTCTGTGACCTAGTTAGGTATTTTAGCGCTTGGTGGTAAAACAAGCCAACGCAAAGGTGTGATAACCCCTGTGTTTACCTAACGGAAACTTCACAGACGGGATTGAGTGTCTATTCCAAGCTTAGCAGGACAGGCGGTTAGACTAATTATCGTTCATCAAATCTCATTTCTCAGTTAGACGTAATTCTCGTCTTGTTTGTTGGCTAACGGATTAGTGAAGAATAATTAGCAGTTACAGTTAGATACTTAATTGTTATTTGTTGACTATTTGATTGATCAATAATCATTTGCCGCTCTATTCGATGGTCATGTCATTTGTAACCACAGAATGGTTCAGAAGCATCATTTTGCCATATATCAGGAAAATGACACGTTTTCAAAAATGTTGTCGTCTCCACTATGCATACCGGTCAGTTGGTGTGAGAAAGCCTAATTTTGGTCCGGGGTGGGATATCTAATTTCCTTCTAAGTTTATTTTGAAACAAAGTGTATCTCGACTCTCGAGATGTCAATGAATCGAAAACCTTGCCGAGGAAACCAATAGGTCGAGTGTTTCCTTCCTTGACGGAGCTAGGTTTTTGTCCATCGCAGCCATTCTCCGCTCGATTCACTGACCGTAAATAGCACCCCGACGATATAATTAAATTGACACAATTTTTACGGCGAAGCCAAAATCAACTGATGTTCTAAGACGTCTGTTCAGAAAAGCTTTGATTACAACAAAACCGTCTCGCTCTCCGACTATCAATATAATTTTTAAATTTTTGTAAACTTTGGCTTATTAGGAAACTCTGTTAATAGTTTACCATCGGCTGGTATTCAATTTTACATTAATAGTATTGGCATATGATGTAAGATCTGTTATCTTGTGGCATCGAATAATTAGTTTATAGTCTTATAGACAACGATTAAATTACTCCTATTCAATTAACGTCCTTGCGTTAATGTTCTTATTACATATCCACATCAAGCTAAAGCTGGATGAACGATAATTGAAATTGATAACGTTTTAATATATATAAATGACATCAATTAAACAAAATATGTGGATTACTTGAAAAGCTTTCATAATAAATTAACGACCCTTTTATTTTAATATTCAAATTAAATATGCTGCCGTTTTCAATTAGGTAAAAACGTCCCACGATATGACACGGCTGTTTATATTCAACTAAGAAATATGGCCAAAATATATTCTCCACAATACAGGAAACGCTTCTAGACATTTCCAATAATTTCGGGAAGATCAGCAGACCTCACTATAATCATTGTCAATTATTTTTTCTTTCAACAATTTGTAACCTCAGTTTGTTAACGAATGACCGTGTCTGAGTGAAATTAATTTTCTGATCCCAAGCAATAGATAAACGATACCCAGTTATGTAGTTGAATAATATATAAGAGCAAGTTTATTCTTCCTCCCGTATAAAAAGCGTGTTCTTTTGAGAATGTCGAAATTCGATTAAAGGTTTTCTCATTATGGAGAGCTTGTAAATAGATATCTACAAAACTGGTGAAAATAATTTCGTTTATACTCAAAAAATATTTGAGGCATTTATTTTTTTTTCGTAAATTATTTCGAGAAGTGATGTGCCATTATAAATCGGAAGGTATCATTTTCATTTCAATTGCTTATTTAGTTAATCGTTATCTTTAGAGGTGTGGACTTTTTTCATTATCAAGCCGGTTATCTTTGCACATTTAATATTGCTTCGACAAATATGCATCGGACATTAATGTCCTTAATATCCAAGATTCGTTAGTGAATAATGTGTAAGAACAAAATAAATAACTGTGACGTTGGCAGTCTACATAATATTAATAACTATATAATCTTAATCTGAGATTTATTTATCAAATCTAGAATTCATTAACCACTTGAACCAGTAATATGCTTCTTTATGGTCCGTGTATAACAATTCATATTTACTGGTTATGTGGGCGTGGATTGGCGCAGATCAGCTCAATAAAACGTTAGTACGACATTGACGTGAAGTTTGGTTTCCTTACGTTTTTGTTCTTGACTTCCAAGTTGATATTAAACGCGTAATTCGACGATATGAATATTTCACACATTTTGTAGAGCACACTCACAGCTTTCAAGTCGCCAAGGCCACCTTTTCACACTAAAGCCTCTTACAAGTCTGTAAGCAATACTTCTTTACAGTAATCCTTTGACGGATTTATACTAATTATAATACTCCAAAAATATATTTATCTATTTACAGTGCATTCCAAGTATTCTCCGTCTTTAGCGATCATAATATTTTTTAGACTATAGTACTCAATCTACAGATTGTCGTAATTGGTAAATACATCATGACTATAAAGATATTAGTGTTACGAAAGTATGGCATTCAATTTTTGACAATGGAATCAAATATAATCTACGGTATATGAGATTGTGCAACGTATCTTACGCCTTAATGCCCCGAAGGGTATGTCCGGTATATATAGCTTTAAATGAAAGATTATTGTGTATAGTTTATGGTAAAACATTGCGCAAAACTGAATAGACCGCTTTCGGCCACGAAGATAGTAATTTGGAAAAATTTGGCAATATTCCGTTCCATTGTTGCCCTATTTTCTATTTTGGAAGCGCCGGTTGCGTTATAGTGTGACATTCTTGTCATAATAGGCGATTATACTGCACTTCTCAATTAGAACTTTTTAGAATTTTGATCTTTAAAAATTACACACTTCTGTTATTTGGCTTAATCAGTTTTATTGTATGCCGTCGTGTTTGTGGCTTTTATAATGACCTTCACATCACTCCTTAGTTGTCTTGGCCATAAGTTTTGATTGGCAAAAATACGTATGCTTCCCATTTCACTGTTGCATTGTGAATTTTACATTATATCGGCTCTTCAAATTGAAACCTGCTTCCGTTGTCAAATGCTTTTGTTGGCTTTCCGCCGGGTCACTTAAATATACCAGCAAGGACAATAAGACTATTCAAAATGACAACAAAGCGACCACCGCTCCTAATTATCAGTTTTAACTTTTCTCAAATCCCCTTGGTAATTTAGTAATTACTATTGCAGGTGCACGTTTGTCTGTTGTCTGCTCTAGTACTAGAATTATTGTCCATAATAACTACTGTTTAGTCGATGATTAGCCAAGTGCGGTTTCCTAAACAAGAAGTAGTGTATTTTTGACTGGGTGGTAATTGTGATGAACGATTTTATATAATTAAGGTTGCAATGTTTATGATTTATTTTATATATGTTAAACCGAGAATCTGGTTAGTACATACTTTCTGATGTTTATCCAACTAGTATGTACATGTTTGTACACCCACTATCACCAACAAAATGTATATTTGGTTACGATGTATAATAAAACATTAATGCATAATTACTATGCTTAGTTTATCCTGATTTCATTTAGTACATTCCCCGATCGTATCAACTATTTCATGTCTAGTCACGAAAAAATAATCTTTCTTATTTTCAATCGGAAAATCTTTTCTATATACATCCGAAACGGAAATAACTAGACTTTGAATCATTCAGTTGTCGAACCATATCAGGAAAGCTATTGTCTCAAATGACAAATTGCGGAAAGACAATGGCCTCTTATTCAGAACAATATTTTCATACTTTCTTTAGCTATCTTTACCTTGTCATAGCAGTATTCATACATACATGATACAAGTACATACAGGAAGCCTCAAAGGTGTGCTAGCTAACGGTTATTTAATTATTATCCATATGTTCAGATATGAAATGGGCCACTCTGCATTATAACTATGTTTTGCAATAACTTGCAGAAAAAATTGCCGATCTTGTATGTATGCACGGAATAAACCAATATAATCGCATATTTAGAATACGCATCTCAACAAATCACATCTGTACATCTGAGGCGCTTGTAATAGTTGTTCCATTTCGGGGTTAAAAATTGACACCCGATTTCATTGATCGCTGTAAAAATCTATCTTGAATTAAAATATATTTCACAGCTAGAAAGCGCGACTTGCCAAACGTCCCCTATTACCTCTTGTTCCCGTGAACTATTTTTGGATAAATGCTTCCGGTTTGGCCAAACAATGCCGTTTGCACGCCGATCGCCCATGTTAAAATCTTCCGTTCGTGCCTTGTTGAGAATACCAACCTGTTTAGCACGAGAGACATGAATCAATCGCACCACTAACTCAAATCCCCTGACGGTGAATAAATTTGACAAGGACTACATTTAGCCCATGAGATATTTACATACACGAAAGTAAACTATAATTCTTGACAGGATCATATTTTAACTAGCACTTTAAGGGATTAGATGCGCTAATCCTTGATACATTTCGAACAACATTTTCATTATTTGCTTTCGTGTATTTACGTGTGCCACTCTGCGTCCCAGCCGGTGTTTGTGCTCATGGATAAGGATGCTAAGTATGATTACCTACAAGTTTCGATTCGATTTTTATCCGATTCCTAAATTTTCGATTCCGATTCTCGGTTCCGAATCTCGATTCCTAAACATATCTTACCGAGAAAACATACCCACCTAAGCAATACCTTATGACATGAGAGAGCGGTGTTCCTTGGACGGACAAGGAGGCCAAAACTAAGTAGTATGGGTATCCAATCTGCCACAGGAGACAAAATCGAACAAAAAAGAATATTTGAGAACCCACAGAGATTTTAGAAATGAATAAACGTAAAAGCCTTCTA